TGTTGCTTGTGGGGCTCGCACACAAGAATTTCACTCGCATGTGCTGTGCCAGTGTGCCTGCACATGTGATGTGACAATAAAAGTGATTTGATTTGATTTGAGAAGTGGTGAAATTCATCTCTTAGAAATTCTACCACGGGAGTTCGGTTCCATCCCAGCTGTACGCTTTTCCAGTCTTTTCTATATTTAGTGTGTCAACGATGCTCATTAGACAGTTCACAGAGTGTTCAGCGCTGAACAGCTTGTCTTGTGGCACATTCTGGTGATAAGGTCTGGAGAGGTCTGTGTTCACTGTTCCTGGATGTAGGGACACACAAACAACCTGGGGAAAAAAAAACATCATTATGGGCTATGGGATCTATGTACAAGGGCATGCCCTAATCCATGCTCTAAAAGAAAGATACAAACACCGGTAACAAGCATCTTAGACCTTAAGCTCAGAGATGTTTTTCCCTTTTCATGTAAATCCTTGACTCCCTGCTCAAACCAGAGTTCCTCCCTGTCCAGGATGTGTACATCCTCCTCATCATTGAAACAGTATCTCATGGCCTGTAGGTGTGAACAGACTGCGGAGTCCTGGCCTGACAAGTTAGCTCTTGTGTGCTGTGCCATCCATTTAGCCAGAGGTTGTTTGGTTTCCCCGATGTATAAATCCTGGCAATCCTCCTGGCACTTAACAGCGTACACTATATTACTCTATTTGTGACATATCTTTTGGGTGGACCAATTTTTGGCACAGTGTGTCTTGGGGTTTGAAACCAACAGAGACCCAGTCTTAAGAGAAAATGCGTCTCAGTTGTTCTGATACTCCCGACACATAAGGGTGGAAGTCACTTGGACGAATGACGAAATGTTTCTCCCACTGAAAACGCCAACCAAACAAAAAACCACATGAATAGACTCAACTCTTTGGGATTTCCTTAACTTGATGATTGAGCATGCACCAAGACATTAATGCAGCATGTATGAAAACACTTACCTTGGGTCGACTGCGGCCCAGCTCTATAGACAAATTCCTAGTGGCCATGTTAAGAGCTGCTTTAGACATTCTGTAGCTGTACCAACCTCCAAGACCTGAGAAAAAAGTGTTAGAGATGAACATTTTACCACAGTGCATGCATGCACATTATAACAAAAGATAAATATCTGCTTTGTAACTATGCTCTGTCCTTCAGCTAAGTGACAAAAGTGGTGCTGCCTATGTGCATAGGTGGTTTTAGACAGGGGCCAACGCCCCCGTAGAACTAGCTCTGGCCTCTGTGCTCAAGAGATAATAATTAATTGATTTCTTATGGTGATATGCAGTGGCACGGTAACTGGAATTAAATTGCTGAGGTGTTCAACATGGACTGTTTAGGGTGCTGCACACTTGCTCTTTTAAATTTGGAGCCGTTTAGCTGGTGGGTTTTTCCCCTGTTAACAAAGAACAGTGTAGAGAGACAGGATGAAGATCATGAGGGGATGAAAGAGAGAAAGAGGAGTTAGCTGGAGAGGATGCAAAGAACAAGGGATCAGAAACAGAGACTGTCAATCCTGTACAGTATGTGCTTAATACATTTAAAAAAAATCTTTTTTGTTTTGTTCTGTGCTCCGATTAAAAAAACAAAAACAAAACACTGGTCCCACTGATAAATTTGGTCTGGAAGTGCCACTGCCTACATGACATGTATGCACAAAGTGTTTTGGAACCACCAAATACCATTGTCTCCAATTGATCCCACTTTCGCTGTGATGTTAACAATGATCCCGCTGTGCTGTTTGGCTTTCTCTGCAGGCTGCTGACCAAATCCACCACTGCCCTTAAGAAGGAGGGGGGAGAAATACTTGGCCATGACCAGGGGACCCACTGTATTAGTCGTTAAGGTGGAAATGATACCCTGAAAATGGGAAAAAAGTTACTTAATTAGGTTAAGGATTTAATGAATTTGGTGTTGCCGATTTCAGACTCTCTTGCTGGACACAGACATCACCAGCACAGTTTAAGGACCACCAGAGATTGTTAGAAAAAGTCCAATGTATGTACCATTACAGGGGGAAATCCAAATGCCTCTATGATGATGGTGTCTCACCAAGTTTTTTGCACTACTTCTGTGCATGTATTTTCTACACAGGCAACAGTTTGACTCACGACAGTGAGTTAAACTAACTTTTACTCCAGTTTTTACGGAAATGTGGCTTCTCACACTAAAACAAAGGTCTACCTGTGCAGAAACATCCCTCAAGCTGGTCTCTCCTTTCCCCGAGGGGTGAAGCATTGCCGAGGAGTTGACGACTAGATCCAGCCGACCGAAACTCTCCTTAACCCTCTCTGCAGCTCCGCGGATGTCCTCCTCGTGGTTCACGTCCAGTCTGAGAACCATCAGTCGGCCCGGGTGTTGGCCGGCCAGGCTCCGCAATTCTGCAGCCCCGTCCGGGTTTCGACATGTTGCTACAACAGTAGCGAGTGATTTATTTTTAAGTATATATTTGCAGAATCCAAAGCCCAGTCCTCTGCTCGCACCTTGAATAAGAGCGACGGGTGCAGCCATGGTTGATAAATGACATAACTAACAGTGTTTGCTGCCTTCACTGCCACTCAAAGGGTCGTAACTTAGAAAATCGGGGGCAATTTAGCGAGGACGCTTGCCGAACGACATCTTAAATGGGCTCATAAGCGACCTTTAAACTTTTTTTTCTATAAAAAAACAACAACGCTGTTACAGTGGTGGTATGTTTTGAAATTATACATTTGAAATTTGGGGAAAAGAAAAGTGACAGTGAAGGTAACACGAAAGGCAAAGGACGTAACGCACGCCCCCTATAGGTCTTTCTGAAAGCACTTACACAACTGTGCATTGCAAGTGTCCTTTGAAAGAGTGATATAATTTTACAGGGCGTATTGACCAAGTTGTAGATGTGGTGCTGGATGGGTTCGATCAGTCAAAAGCTGAGGATTATTGGGGGGGAATTCACGCTCGATTCGGAAGAGAAGTAAAAATATCAGTAATATTTTATGTTATCTTTTTTGGACATAAAACCTGTAAAAGCATCAAACATCTAGGATTTAAAAACTAGTATTAGAGGAAATGGAAATGCATTACATCATAATTTGGAGGGTATTTGGATTCATATATGATTACAATCAATAATGGTAGTTTTGCCTTTTGATCCAATATTTGGCTTTAGACCGATCAATTTTTACACTTATGGCACTGAATCTGAATTAAATGCGCATTAAACACAAACAACTCCAACATTATGAAGTCGCAGTAACGTCAGTAATTTTTCAAGGAATCGTGAGAAAATATCCAGACCAGTAGGCGGCGGTAGCTTGATGTAAGCTTGTAAACTGCCAATAATTGCAAAAAAACCCAGAAAACATAGTCTTTGTATTAATATCGCGTTCATTCATTTACGAATATATAAAAATATATTACATAAGCGAAATATGCTGACTAAAACAAACCCACAATGAGCACGGAAATTACACCATTTTGCTGTTTGCCAACCGCCAATAAACCTTATACAGAAGAAGAAGAAGTCAGTTGCTTAGCAACTGTTGGAAGCCCAGCGTCAGTTAGCAAGTTAGAAGATCAGCTAACACACGTACCGTGTGACCCTAAAAAGTGTATAAATGCCACTAAAAAGAAGAGGACCTTTGCAGCTAGCCCAGAGAGAAGTGGATGAAGTAGAAAAACAGGTCAGTTCAAGAACGACGCTTTAAACTTAGGTGCGACTGCACCAAGCTGTTCGGACTGAACGTTATACAGTTGTTGCACATGTACCACCAGAGCTTTTTCGAAATGATGTGATCCCGAGGCTTGAACTCGACTGTTTCTCTAAACACTTTTGTCTTATAAGCCCTTTACCGACGTGGCATGCGCTAGCATAAATATTGATTAGCATCTGTTCGTAACAATTCATTATGATGCACTGCTGTGAGTTAGCAATGTAAACCAGAATAAAAACCGACATAATCATCAATGTAAACGCTGAACTGTACATTGATTTAAACACTTTCACAGGTTGACAGTCTGGAGAAGGATGTCCAGAGCCAGGCTGGATCCACTGAAGAGGCCTTTCGAAGGTAACCAACTGTGGTAGAGCACCAGCAGTGCCCTTCCTTACTCTTAAGATGAGCACCCTCACCTGTTTTAACATTGAAATCCTTGTGTGTAGTTATATAGCGCCTTTCTACTCAGTTGAGCACTCAAAGGGTTTTCTGCTAAAAGTGTCACTCACCCAGTCACGCACAAATCCATACAGGATTGTATCTATAAGCATTTTCTAACAATTACACACGTGCTCAGACTGCAATGGGTACATCAGTGAGTTCGCTATCAGTCTGCCCAAGGATATTTCAGCATGATGACCCTCTCTACCACATGCCCTGATCACCTACTTTATGGAATGCTTGATATCTACTTGCAAACAGATGCCAAAAACTGCAAATGTCAGCAGAGGAGACACTAAGGACACTGAAGAAACTGAGCAAGGTTAGTTTTCTAATCTTTAAGAAACTTTTCAACCTTTTCAAATACTATTATCGTACACAGATTTAATATAATCTTTCGATGCCAACAATTGGAAGCAATCAGTGATATTACTTGACTAATATTAGTTGTTTTTATTAAGGCAGTTGTCATTACTTACAGCACCAAATCGATATATTAATTTATCTTTGTGGAAAATGTTGCATGGTTGACAGCAGTGTAGCTAATTAGTCATCATAAGCTAATGCTTGATCTTTCAGGGTGATGAGCTGGCTCCAGTGGGCAATTATGATCAGAGGAAACAGGAAGAGGAGCGACGAGTGCAAAACATCGTGGAGCGTCTAAAAACTCTCTCTCTGGAGCTGTCGCCACCAGGACCCAGCACTGAAGCAGGGTTAGTGAAATGTGTGCTAGTTGCAAAGAAGGAAAACTGGGACGGTAGAGTTTTTTTTGTTGTTGATCTGTGTATGTACTTTATAGTCCTTGCTGCAGGGGGCTTGACTTCCCCACAACAATTTAACCTGCATGCTTCATTGCAAAGCATCAGTTTATCTGACAGATTCAATAACAATTGATTGACAAATCTGACCCAAGAATACCTTTTTTCACTGAATTATTCCCTGGTCCACAGTAATGTTTCAAAGGAAGATAGTGAAAATAGTGCTGAAGAAGACGATGACGAAGACAGTAACGACAATGAAGAAGAGCATGTAGAAAATGATAACAACATTGCCGGTGATGAGAGGCGAGATTTGAAACCGCCATCTCAGTCAGATGCTCGCATCTACATGGTCCTCAGTGATTTCAAAGGAGAGCAGGAAGGAGATCTGTCTGTTCGGGTAAAACACAAACAGCCTTGATGTCAGCAATATATTTAGGACGTTTAGAGCTTGGATTCTTTCCCCTTGCATGTTAAAAGCGATATTGTATAATATTTAGTTTCAACAGAAGAGGGCGCTCTAGCCATCCAAATCTTCTTCAAGTCTTGCAGGCCTGAATTAAGTAACAAATGTAATTTACATATTTCTGAAAACTATTTACCTTTTTAATTTTAAACATTTCTATGATGTGTCTGGTAGATATTGGCATGCAGTCTAGTGCACTGTAGTGTAATTTATAAGCTTTATTAATCGTTATGTCCATCCATCCATCCATCCATCCATCCATCCATCCATCCATCCATCTCCACTTATCCAATTTGATATCCCTTTGTGTTAATGAATCTTATTCCATTGCCGGTTAATTTTTAATCAAGTACTTAACCGATTAGGAAGATAGGTTTATCCTCACATCTGAATTTTAGACATGTCTGTGATGAACTGCATTTGATCTCATCTGTTTGTTATAAATGTGTGAGTTATGTGAACTTACATGGTGTTCTGTGGCCTGTTGTTTCAGAAGGGGGAGGTGTTGAGGATTATCAGGAAGGCAGCAGATGGATGGTGGCTGGCTCAGAACACTAAAGGCAGCAGAGGAGTGGTTCCAAAAACCTTCCTGAAGGTACAAAATCTGCAATGATAGCAAGTCCAACATTATGAATTTTCATTTAGACAAGTGTTTAGCTGAAGGAATTATAAAACATTACTGAGAACATTAAAATGCAGCCTGCAGCAGTTTTCTTTATTCATTGTGTTTTTGATATTAGTATAGACTGACAAAAAAGATCAAGACCATAACAGGATATGATTTCTGATTATATTTTAAATGTAACCATAATGTGTTAGATTGGCTCTAGTGTTGATGAGGAAGATGATGATGATGATGACAATGATTCAAAAGAAGATGATGATGACAAGGAGGAGTCGGAAGAGGAGGAAAATCAAGATAGTGAAGAATTAACTGATGATCCAGACAAATGGAGGTTGAAAGTTTTTTATTTAATTTTTATTTAATGGCATTAAGCTTCCAGGGTCTGTGTTTCCCTACACTTGAGAGACTTTGTTTAAAAGGAAGATAATTTTGAAAACTACATTTATCCAGATTAATGGCAGCATAAAAATATTACTTACTGGTGTGAATGAATAACATAATTATTCTTGGTTTCTTTTGTTTTTGTTGACAGTGCTTCACATTCTAACTGGTCTACAGTCAAAAAGGCTCTGAGTGAGGTGTGACTTTCTATACTCTACAGTTATAACTACAAGAACTGAAACTGCTATTAATTTTCCCAACAACAAATACTGCATTCACAATCTTTAGCGCTGTGTTAAATACGTTTTATGGTTTTATCGTGTGTCTGTGACAGATTGATGCAACAGATGTGCTCTCCGCCATGGGTGCTATACCTTCAGGATTCAGACCATCAACTCTCAATAAATTACTGGTGGAGGAAGGTCATTATGCAGCATGTGTGTGTGTGTGTGTGTGTGTGTGGCAGAATTCAGTAAATCCTAGAGCTTGCTGGTCCACTGGTGGTGAACAGACCTGCCTCCCTTAGTGCTGCCTGACATCATCCTACAGGTTAAGTGGCTGTTATAAGGCTAGGGGGAAACTGTTTTCATTGCCAGTTACTCAACTTCTGCCAATTACTTTGTCAATGTATAATTTTTCTATAAAGCAGCAAAATATGTGGATTACATTTCCCCAATTCTAAGTAATGTATTCCAAGGTAGTAACAAATCCTTGCATCAGTGAAGCAGGAATCACAGGATGTGTCACATTTATATTTGGAAAAATCAACAATTCTACAAATTGTTGCATCTTAATGGAAATTTGGATTTAAACTAAGATGACACCCAAAACTTAAAACAGCTTGAACAGCTTACACTGTGAGATAAAGGAGCTGGTTTAAAAGACATTTTAAATTATTCAAGTTCATAACTGCACAGGCTTCAACAATTAAGAGTTTATACTGGGTGAGTTATACTGGATGTTATTTTTATTACTGTAGTTGTTTTGGTACAGTAGATTGAATGGTGAGTTAGATGCACAATTTTTACCCTATTGTTACCGTATTGATAGAAGCAGCTGTCACTGTAAATAGTAATATTTATCTAACAAGCCAATGCTACATGACTTTCAGGGCAAAGCTGTAACCCTTTGTGTCCTTTATTAGGTGTAACATACAGAGGAAGT